AAGACGATGTACTTGAGCCGGAGAGGGTGAAGTCGGAGTGGAGGCTTGAACGGCTCCTTCTTGAAGTGGAAGACGAGCGGTTGAGCAACAAAGCACGAATTTCGTCCATCCTTGCGTCATTCTCTTGCTTGTGATCGTCGAGCTTGTGGTCGAAGTAGTCCCTTGTACCTTGCTCAGAAAGTTGCAAGTCGGCGGCAAGGTTGTTGATGCGTTCACTCATAGCTTGTTGCTCTTGATGCAAAGCACATTGTGCACCAAAGAGGTGACTCTTGGTGATGAAGGAGTTCATGTCGACGTCTTGCTCCATGAAGAGTGGGTTGGTAGAAGTACTTGGCCTATCCATCATGAGAAAGTGGTGGTGAGTAGGAACAATGAGAGAACAAAACCAAAGTTACCTTTTCGGAAGATTGTGGATGTAACAAGTACGATCTCACGATGCTATAATAGGGGAATTGGTACAGGGAATTGTTTCTCACACCTACAAGTAAAAGGCTTATGGAGGAGCTCGGTTAAGATGGTGGCAAAAATTTCAAGCAAATGTTAGTCAAGATATCGATAAGGTTGAGAAGATTCACAAAAATGCAAGTAAAAACAAATAGATCAAACCCAATGATATCACTAGGAACACACACACGGAAGATAGATGGGATCCGCACAACCAAGGGGTGAGCTCAAAATGTGCAACCACGGAAAATGCTCTTGTTGTGCGAATACTAGAGAGACGCTAGCTCGATTGCTCAAATGGGCTAGATACGCATGTGCACCAACCTATCAGAGAAACATGCCATCTTCAATCCCAACTATGCTACGTATGAGGTGTCAAAATGATATGCAAAATGGCTCGATGCTAGTACTTACAAGCTCTTTGTTGGTCCTCTTTTGCTTAAAAGCTTTTCTTGTTCTTTTTTTTAAGCTAGAGCCAAGTATGATATGAGACAAGTATGTAAGATATGCACGGGAGAGACTTATGGCACTAAGATGGTAACAAGATCACTATGGTGCACAATAGCATGGCCTCGCAATTCTCAACTTGCTAGTCTCGATGGGTAAGCGACGCGAAATGGCTCGGGTTATCAATGCAAAAGCAAAATGAGATGCCGTCGAGGTTACCGTCCGATTGTACGGTAAGAATGAAGTTGGTGAAGCCGGTGTGGTGCCGAGTTGATGATCGAGTGGCGGCGATGATGATGTCCAAATGCGCCTAAGTAGCAAAAACACCTTAGGACACAAGAGAAACCGTGGTCCGAAACTCAAACAACCACGAGAAATAGTGCAGAAGAACACGAGTGTTGGTATGGAAGCAAAATGGTGCAAACAAAAGATGGCCGAAAGTTCCTGGATGATCCATGTGCACGGGGTAAGTGAGGCCCGTGTGCACGGGGTCTCGAGGGCCCGTGTGCACGGGGTGTGCTGGGAGCGGATGACAAGCTCCGGATCCGTGGGGATTTTCCAAGATAAGGATAATTTCGAGGATTTGGAAGGTGGGGAAGCAGGAAGATGGGTAGATCCACTTGCCAAACTCAAAATTCGTGGATCAAAACAACCAAATCTCACAAGATCCAACAAATTGCAAGAATTTTTTTGGGCTATTTTTGTGGGGATTTTCTAATTTTGACGAAAAACAACAAAATCAAGCTAGCAAATGGGGGGGAGGGGTGGGGCTCCAAGATGTGAATCAACCTTGCTCTTGATACCAAAATGATATAGGATGAAATCCTAGAGGGGGATCTTTTCACACTTGGAGGGGGAAAAGGGCAAACTCTCAAGAACACAAAGAGGAAATCACTCAAACAATTCCCCAATTACACATCCACTAGAATAGCAATACAAGATCCACAAGTCACAAACACAATCAAAGGAAATATACAATGGCAAAGTTCTTCCCACTCCTAGGAGATGAGGTCTTGAAGATAGTCTTCTCCTAGAGGAGGTCTTGAAGATAGTCTTCTCCTAGAGGAGGTCTTGAAGTCCACTAGGATTCTTCCCAAAAGGGGCCTTGATTCCACAAGTGGGAAGGTAGAAGGAGGAAAGCTCACAAATATCTCATCTCATACTTTGCTAACCCTAAACATAGCCCTAGGTACGGTTTATATAGTCTTGGGGTCAAAAGAGATGAAGAGGGGCTCAGTTTGGGGATCTCAGCCGTCCATCCTGGGAGGCCCGTGCGCACGAGGGTCCCGTGGTCACGGTACAAGCCCGTGCGCACGGGGTGCTCCAGCACCAACTTCCTGGATAGCCCGTGGGCACGGGGTCTCGGGGCCCGTGCGCACGGGGTCACCTGGGACTTCCAGTTTTGCTGCTGCTGCACTTCGTCTTGGTCCGCGTGGCCTTGGGGTGGTTCCTATTCACCTTGGGGTGCTCCTGAGCCTCTTGGTGGTGTTCCTCTTTGTACCTAATGAGACATAGCGTATCTTGGTGAGGTAGCAACAATGTTCCATTAGTATCCATACGCAAGCTAAGTAGGAAGGAGTTCACCTCGGTTTCCAAAGCACGTGCTCTCGCTCTTGTCATAGGTCCACGTGGGGCTTGATGTGTCGATGTAGAGTCCATGGGGATGATGGAAGGATGCTCCGCATCATAATACCCTACGTCCTGCTTGATTGATATTGATGAGTATGAGGATTACAAGAGTTGATCTACCACAAGATTGTAATGGCTAAACCCTAGAAGTCTAGCCTGTCAGATTATGATTGCCCCTACGGACTAAACCCTCCAGTTTATATAGACACCAGAGGGTACTAAGGTTCTACAAAGTCAGTTACAGAGAAAGGAATCTTTATATCCGAACGCCAGGCTTGCCATCCACGTCAAGGAGAGTCCCATCCGGACACAGGAGAGAGTCTTCGTCTTGTATCTTCACGGCCCAATAGTCTGGCCCACGTTACACAGGGCGGACGCCCGAGGACCCCTTAATCCAGGACTCCCTCACCGGCCCCCTCTCCCTTCACCCTATAAATAGAGGGGGTGGGAGGGCTGTCGTACCTCTTCCCTGGCGTAGCCCTCCCCCTCTCCAACACCTCCTCCTCCTCCTCCGTAGTGCTTGGCGAAGCCCTGCTGGAGAACTGCAAGCTCCACCACCACGTCGTCGTGCTGCCGGAGCTCTCCCTCAACTTCTCCTCTCCCCTTGCTGGATCAAGAAGGAGGAGACGTCTCCGGGATGTACGTGTGTTGAACACGGAGGCACCGTCCGTTCGACGCTAGATCGAATCTTTCGCGATTTGAATCGCCGCGAGTATGACTCCATCATCCGTGTTCCTTGTAACACTTCCGCTTAGCGATCTTCAAGGGTATGAAGATGCCCCCCCCTCTCTCGTTGCTAGCATCTCCTAGATTGATCTTGGTGACACGTAGGAATTTTTTTGAACTATTGCTACATTCCCCAACACGAGCACCGGTACGAGTGTGTGCACTCGAACCAGACGCGGTCTTACGCTCTGGTGATGCTAATGTGCCTCCCATTTCCTTCCTTCTTTCTCAATTTTCCTTGTTTCCTTCTAAGTGATGATTTATCTCCACATTAGACCTTTCTCCTGTGGAAGCAAATTAAACCAAGGATTTTTGTGATCTCTCGCATTCATTAGTCATTAGTGACAATATTGGAATGATTTTCTTGTGATTTCCAAGATTATTCGGTTTAAACAACGATGTGATGAGCGTAAAAGTATCATTCATCAACCACAACATCCATCCCACTAAACCAAGACGTGGTCAATCAAAACGAACATTGCCCGTGGCGCCATCAAGACGACTGTTATGACGACGTGGTAATTCCATCAGCAGTTGTCACCATTACGGTCGTTATTACACAATGGCTCTTATAAGCCCTTGTAACTCCACCTTCTAATCGTAGTATATAAGGTGAGAAGGGTGTGAGGCATAGAGAGGTTGACTCAAGTCTATGGGCAAGACAAATCCTTTGTATTCATCCGGCTTACACAAGAGAGAACACATCCAAGCAGGAGTAGGGTGTTGCCCCTAGAACAGGGGGCTCGAAACCAGGTAAAACCTCTGCTATGTGAAATCTCGTATCTAGATCCTTCACATGTGTCTTGCCTCTACAAAATCCGCAGAATCATGAGTATTGCCTCGAAATCACCGCGGCACCTTAAGAAAGCTCTAACTTCTATGCTTATAGTTCAACCTCTCAATCGGAATTTGCCTTTCAAAGTTATATATGATGCTAGTGATTATGTTGTAGGAGTTGTTCTTGGTCAAAGGGTTGATAAAAAATTGAATGTTACACACTATGCAAGTAAAAGCCGACGGTCACGAAATCAACCCCCTCAATTGTCTGCCATGGCTCAAATCCTAGGGAGCATGGTGATTTTAAGGACTATGGGCACGAGACAGTGTCCCTGTAAGACCAGCGTGTTATGAAATTGAACTGGTCACAATAATAAAGTTCAAAAAAGAAAATGGACCGGTCATATTAGAAAAAGTGACGACCACATTATATTCCATCCATTTGAACGCATCATCTACTCCTATCTAACAACGTGTCGCCGCACCACCAATCCAAAACGTCCCTATTGCTCCCTTGCTAGATCACCAGTCCGGTTAAATAATGTTTTCTCATCAGATTTTAACCACCCTCCAAATCATTCGTTTCATACTCCTATTAATTGTTTTTTTGACGCGGCAGTTCCTTGTTTCTCAACTTAACTTACACCTGTGACGAAAGGGAGATGGGAACAAGAAAGCTGTCCGTCCAAGCCAGCCAAAGCCAAAGCCAAGCCAAGCCAAGGCGACAACGTTGATGCAAATGCAAGCGCAAGCTGTGTGTGCGGCCGCAATAATACCACCAGTCCACCACACGGAACCGAAATTAGGTGCACGCCCTCCTCCCCGCTCCCCTCCCCTCCGCAATCCCCAAACCAGCGCCGAAAATCGCACCGCCCCGCGCCGCGCCGCCACCAGACGGCGGGTTTGGCGGGTTGGGGCGCTCCCGTGGCCGCCGTTGCTGTCGCCGCGTGTCCGCCCTGGCGGTGGCGGTTGCATGTATGCGGGAGGGGAGAGCCAATGGCGGGGCCGACGGAGAGAGAGGCGGCGCTGACGCCGCCGCCGCGCTTCGGCGGCAGAGGCCGGCCCGGCCCCACCCGCCCTCGTCCGGCTCGGCCGCGCCGTCTTCGTCGGGTGGAGGAGAGGGAGGCAAGAAGCAGGGGAGGCGCAAGAGCAAGCGGCGGGAGCAGGTCGTGAGGGCGATCCGGGACCGGCTGCCTCCCCCGCCCGCCTGCTGGGGCAACGTCTCGGTGGTCCGGGAGAGGAGGGGCCGGAGGGAGAGGCCTGGCGCCGACGCCGTCCGCGGCGAGGAGGAGGGGCGCTCCGGCGCGGGAACCGCCGCGCTGCCGGCGTGGTGCTGCCTCTGCCCCGAAGGGGACTGCTCGCTGGAGCCCAACCCGAGCGCCAACGGCAAGGAGGACCCCGGCCTCTGCGCCCTCATCGAGCGCAACGACTTCTACTCCGACGACTGCAACCCGCACGCCGCCGCCACCACCGAAGACGACGACGACGACGGCGCGGCGAGCCCCGCCGCCGATTTTGATTAGGTGCCCGTCGGCCGATCCGCCGTTCGTTGCTGCACATTGCTGTACAAAAAGTTTTACATCCGGAGAAAGAAGAAGGTATACACAGGTTTCTTATTTTTCCTCGCGTTGCGTGGCGTCCGGTCGAGTTCACCTTCCCCGTGCCTTTTCCACCGTCGGCGTGTAAAGCATCCATCTACCGCGTGAGAGCCATGGGACGCGTTGGTGCCAAGAGGAAACGACGTGCGATGGATTTTCTCTTGCCTTTTGCATCTTTTGTCTCATCGCGTGCCAATCAGTGCGTTGGATTGACTACTACTGCTACTCCGTGATCGCCTTTGCCATTGTGGCACGGCGCAAGAACTTTTTCACATTGCCTTCTCGCTGTGACGTATTTCCTTTGTTGGGACTTACTTGTCACAGAAATAGATGTATCTAGATATAAGTAATTCCAAACGGAGGGAGTAGTTGAGCAATCCGAAGTGTGCCTTTCATATTTGGCGGCTGACTTGGCCAGCGGGTGACGTGTAGGTATGCATGTACTCCTACTTGTTGTGCTTCCTACAACAAGAAATGATCTGATGAAGAGTACAGCTCTGAACGTTTGCATGATCGGGCAATCGCAGCGCCCAGGTCATCTATGTTTCGACCTCATTTTGTCCATCCGTAAAAGTCGGCCGATTTTCTTCTCGCGTGGGCAGAGCAGGTTCTCTGTTGGCTGGCGGAGAGCGAGCCAGAAAGGTCTTCTTATCACCTCGGGACGTTGGTGCTGTTGAGAGCTCCACGGTTTGGTTGGATTCTCATGGTCCACAGCAGCAAAAGAAGAAACGAGGAGCCCAACGACCATGACAACGGCGAAAGAAGAAACCAGCCCCCACATCGCTATTATACGGCGCGAAAATTGCCAATTGGATTGGCACCCACCCAAATCATACTACCAACTGGTAGGCAGAAAGTACATGGATTTTGTAAAACCTCTCACCAGAAATGGACTGGACTGTTTCAGCCTAAGGAGCAAGCCTGCTCCGGTCTCTCAGGTTTCTTCAGATTACATTTACCACAACACACTTGGGGCGCTTGCATATAGAAGGCCTTGAACCACAAGCCACCGTCCCGCGTGAAACTGGACCGAACCGGCCATTTTTCGAGACATCGACACAAAATGACCCAATCTGAAAATATTTCACAAACTGGCCCTTTTGCATGACGCCCCTTCCCAGGCTAGGGTGAGGGGAGTCATGCAAAAAGATTCGGTTTGTGATTTTTCTTTTTCAAATTGAAGTCATTTTGTAGTATTGAGTTTTAGAACAGGGTGTCCATTTTCACCATCCCGCTCTGCTCTGTCATTGGAGCTCCTTCTGCACCGCCAGATTTTGCCTTGCTACACTCACCCGACCGTCGTCGCATGCTGACACGACAAGAACACTATGGCGTCAAAGAGCACAATATCAAGGATGTAACTGAAATGAACAATCGCAAAGAAACAGCTACAACATGGTTCTATGACAATGATTGTGCGTTCTGTGAGCACAAAGTCGTAGTACGAGTATAAGTAACTGTCACTTTCACAAGCCACTGCCCTCTTGAGCCTTCTAGGACCAGCAGATCTTTGTGATATATACAAGAACTAAATGCAAAAGAATAACGTAGCATCTGATTCTGATCCTTTCGAGCACACTGGTAGCTTCATTTCTACTACCTTATTTATTTTTTGAATCATCCGAATTATACCTTGTTCTGGATATATCTTTGCTCTTTGGGTGGCAAACACTATGCGTTCTGATTTATCAAATGTTGGGAGGGAGATGACACACAAAAGGTAATCAATAGTCCTACTCCTACAAGTGATGACCGCAATATAAACTCTTTGAAGGATTTAAGTCACTTCTTGTGGGCGGCGTTTTCTATCACAGGCCCATCTACTCGTGCGGTAAACAGTAAAAGTACAAAGCACCACAAATATCATAAAAAATACTGGTATTACCATCTCAAGATCTCTTTGGCCTGCGGCGAGGTGTGTCTCTATCTTGAAAATGCTTTTCTCATGACCCCCTTTTCTTCAGAGGAGATTGACGCGGTTGTCGACTCCTCGAACTCCAATTTTGTGCCCGGACCTGATGGATTTTCGGTTACCTTCTTTAAAAAGTTATTGTCTGTGCTTAAGTCTTTGGTCCATGTTGTTATTCAAGGGTTTTGTTTGGGGCCGGTCGATATATCTCGTCTCAATTACGCTATCCTCTCTCTCATTCCCAAGTCAAAGGTGTTGGTTCTATTCGTCAGTTTAGGCCCATTGTTTTGATCAATAATTTCGGCAAATTCCCGGCCAAGGCCTTTGCTACCAAGCTATGGCCTGTTGCACATCATGTCATTAGTCAGAATCAGTCTGCCTTTATCAAGGGGCGCTTTATTCTTGATGGGATCCTCAGTCTCCATGAGATTTTCCATCATCTTAGGGCAAGGAACTCTAGGGCGGTGATACTCAAACTGGACTTGAGAAGGCTTGCGATTCTGTTAGTTGGGATTTTCTCCGCTCTACTCTTTTGGCTAAAGGCTTTGATGGAGCCTACATTCGCCGGCTCATGCAATTTCTCTTAGGTGGACACACGACTGTGGCTATTAATGGAGCAGTGGGCCTTTATTTCGCCAATGGTCGGGGCCTTAGACAAGGTGACCCCATCTCTCCCATTCTCTTTAGTTTTATGGCTAGTGCATTCTCTTGCATCCTCTCTAGAGCCGCTAATGCGGGTCACATATCTCCTGTGGTTTCTCACCTGATCCCCTCTGGCATCTCACACCTGAAATATGCTGACGGTACTATCATTATGATTTAGGTTGATGACCTTTGTATTGTCAATCTGAAATTTATCTGCTTTGTTTTGAGGCACTTTCTGGACTCAAGATTAACTTTTCTAAGAGTGAAGTCATTGTTACTGTCGTTTCTGAGAGCGAGGCTACTCGCCTGACTGATATGCTCAATTGCAATTGAGAATCCTTTCCGTTCAAATATCTTGGTATACCGATCGCCCAGTTTAGGCTTTGTGCTAAAGAGTCCACGCATGCTATTACTAAGGTGGGCAACCGGGTGATGCCTTTGCGCGGTCGCTATAATTCCTCTGCTGGCAAGGCCCGCCTGATCAATGCTTGTCTCTCTTCCCTCCCTATGTTTCTGATGGGTTTTTACCGCCTTTCGGAAGGCACCCACGCCGGGTTTGACAAACATTGCAACAATTTTTTTAACTCTGCTGTCAACAAGCATTAATACAGACTCTTAAGCGGAAACTCATATGTAAGCCCAAGAACCTTGGGGGGTTGGGCATTTTGTATACTTCTGTGATGAACAAGTGTCTTATTTATCAAATGGTGGTGGAGGATTCTTAATTTGGGGTCTAGGACTTTGTGGTTTGATCTTTTGAAAGCTAAATATTACTTAACAATAGCCCTCTGTTTGCACCTAGTGTGGGTGGTTTCCAGTTTCGTGATATGGTGAAGGTGAAAGATGTTTTTCGTGATCACGTCGAGTTTGTGGTAGGTAATGGCTCTTCGATTCGTTTTTGGCTGGACTGGTGGTGTGGGTGATTACTTCCTTTGGTGATCAGGAAATGGAGCAGAAATGACTCTCGTATTTCTCCCCAGAGATGAACCTGAGTTATCGAACCCATGGGAGGACCGTGCCCTTTAAGCTAGGGTCTCAAACAAGTTTTGCTAAAGAATTAATTCTAGCTTTTGACCGGATCGTAAATCAGGGGACCCTTTATCTCCTTATTTGTTCCTATTATGTACGGAGGTCAGTCTGACTGCTCTACTGACGCATGCGGAGGAGAATGGAAATATTTTGGGAGTGAAAGCTTGTAGAGATGCTCCCCTGATCACCAATCGTCTCTTCGCTGATGACTCATTGATCCTCATGGGGGCTAATATACACAATGCTAAAACGTTGAAGGTAATTTTGGACTTGTATTGCGCCGCCTCGGGTCAAATGGAGAGTGTTGAAAAGTCGAGTATCTTGTTTAGCCCCAATACTAGCGCCGAGGTGAAGGAACAAATGTGCACCACTCTGGGTATTTTGACTGAGGCCCTCAGTGACAAATACTTAGGTTTGCCAGCCAACGTGGGGGTGGATAACAACTGATTGTTTCCAGTATCTGATTGGTCGCATCATTACAATAATCAGTGGTTGGAAGGAAAAATCATTATCTGCTGGAGGGAAGGAAATTCTTTTCAAATCTGTTGTTCAAGCCATCCCACTTATGCAATGTCGGTATCTAAAATTTCTAAAAAGATTTGCAAAGGAATCATTGATGCGATGACACACTTTTGGCGGGGAGTTGAGTACAACCAGAGGAGGATGCATTGGATGGCTTGGTGGAAAATGTGTGTCCCAAAGGATCAAGGAGATATGAGTTTTTGCAATATTCATTGTTTTAACCTAGCGATGCTGGCAAATCAGGCTTGACGTCTTCTCAAGAATCCAAACTCCTTATGTGCCACTATTTTGAGAGTGAAATACTTTCCTGATGGTGATTTACTGAACACTAAGTTGTAGAAGGGATTGTTGCTCACCTGGAAGAGCATCATGGAGGGTGTGAATTCGCTGAAACATGGCTATATTTGGATAGTTGGAAATGTTCAGAATATTCATATTTGGGAGGATGTTTCGATCCCAAATTGTGCTGAGAGAGAAGTCATCACTCTTAAAGGAAACCATCTGATATCTCGATCCCAAATTGTGCTGAGAGAGAAGTCATCACTCTTAAAGAAACCATCTGATATCTCGATCGAGCTACTTACTTTATTGGCCCTGTGTCTAATACATGGGGGAGACAAACATTACGACCATTGATGGACAACATATCCTTGACATCCCTCTTCCCCAACATGATATGCAAATTTTGTTATATGGAGCTATACGAAAAATGGTATGTTCTCGGTTCGGTTAGCATATTTTGCAGAGTGGATCATCAACATGGGGGGAAGCTTCAATATACTATTGGAGTGGGAAGAACTATGATCAATCCAATTTACCGGAAGATATGGAAGCTCTTGTGTCCAACAAAGGTGAAAATCTTCAATTGGCGTACATTGCATGGTACACTCCCGTGTCGTGTTACGCTTGCAAACAGACACATAAAAGTCTCGCGATGCCCTACTTGCTCTTTGAATCCAGAAGACACAAAGCATGTGTTATTTTTCTGTCACAAAGCAAAAGAGGATTGGAGAAGGTTGGGTTTGGATGAAACTATAATGACAACATGTGAAGTTGATCGTGTGCAGGTGAGGCCGTCCTAGAGTTTTTTACTTCTCATGTTCGATCAGGATCTATCTTTTGTGGAGATTAAAATGTTCGAGAGTTGATCATCATTACTATGTGGTATCTGTGGTGGGAAAGACGTAAACTGATTCATGAGGAAGCAATCCAAAGTGCATCCGTGCCCT